CACCACCACCACCAGCACCACCAGCACCAGCACCACCAGCACCACCATCACCACCAGCACCACCACCACTGGCATGTAAAATAAAGGCCCATCTTCCAGCTGACAGCATTTTAGATGAAATGGGAGGTTTATTTATTTGCTTGTGGGCCTGTCTCCTTGAGGACGTAAGTTCTAGAAGAGTGAGAGTTTGGCAGTTCACCTCAGCTTATATCTCTCCCCTTCCCCCTGCAAACCCACCCTGACAGACAGTGAGCTCTCACACGGTGTTTGTTGACTGACTGAGTGGATGAGTGTGTGACTGAATGAACGCCTTCCCCTGTGGTCTCTCAGAGCTGCCATGATTCCTTCCCTCAGTGACTCTCTCCCTTCTCGGTGACAATTATACCCAGGCCCACTGAGGCATCTCCTCTCTCTATCATCCTCAATTTCCTTCTGGCTGCGACGCTTCTTTTGACTCAGTGGAATTAGATGAGAATTGGAATGGGAAAAGGGGATTCTTTGGGAATTCTGCAAAAGAGGTGAAGTGGGACGGCAGACACTGGAGAGAGAGCCAAGTGCCGCCAAACCAGGCTCAGGAGACACATCTCTGACGAGATGCACCCACGGGCTGGCAGTTCTGACATTACGGTAATTCGACATTGTCTGGGACTCTGAAATTACGGGCAATTTGGGTCTGTCACCAGTCCTGAGATTACGGTAATTTGCGTTATTTGTAACCCTGAAGTTATGGTAATGTAGCTGATTCCCGGCTCTGAGATGACAGTCATTTGGCCTGTTTGTTTCCTGGGTGTCTGCTCACCAGCAGGGCTCCAGTGGGAGGTGGGGCTGAGGACCTTTGTCGAGCGAGGCCTGGGGAGAGGCCCAGTGTGGGACCCTGGCCCCCCATTACCTTTGGCCCGGCAGGGGATGTCCACCACTTTCTCCATCTCCGCTGTGATGTGTCTCTCAGGCTCCTTGACGAACTGAGGTGGTTCTGCAGGAAGAAGGAGCAGGGAGAGGGTCACAGCTATGCTCCTGTGATCTAACCCCCCCAGCCCCCCACCTGGCGGAGCCCCAGCTGCCCCGCCTGGGCTCCTGGTGCTCACCTAGCACGGACAGGTAGGCCCCCCGGATGACGGAGGGGACGCTACTGCTTCTCAGCATGGCCTCGCACTCGTAGTAGCCGGCGTCGGCGCCCGTGGGGTTGGCGATGGTGAGGCGGCGGCTGAAGTCACTGATGCCCCCCGACAGCAACAGCCCGTCCTTCTTCCAGATGATGTGCAGCTTGATGAGGGGTCTGGAGGGTGAGGGAGACCCGTGGTCAGCTGCAAGGCCTGGGGAGGCCGAGGGGCAGGCGGGACAGGGCGGCAGGGGTGCAGCTCTGGAGCGGGGCTGCCCCGGTGCGGGCCTGGCTCTGCCGCCTTCGGCCCTGCAGGCGGACCTCGGCCCTCGTCTCACTGCACTCTGCTTCCCTGCACCTCGAGCAGGTGGCCACCCCGTGTCCAGCGAGTCTACCACACCATCTGTCCCACAGCAGCGCTCATGCGGGGTCTCTGTCCTGGTCCTGGGATCCTCACCATAGAGCACACTTTCCCATCACGCACGCTTACTCGACTCTGGTCTACAGTGAACGTAACTTCCGTGTAAACCAGGAAACAAACAAATGGAAATCATACACCTCGCGGTACTCAGCCATCTGCTTTATTGCTGCAATCTGGAGCTAAACCCACCATATCTCTGAGCTCGCCCTGAATGTGGAAGTCAGGCCAGTTCTGTTAGGACTCAGTTTTCTCATCTGTAAAATGGGGCAGCTGGGCCTCCCATGGGCTGGAGGTACTAATGCCAAGTCAAGCCTTTGGCTGGGGCTTGATCGAACGGCGGCACCTCCAGATACTCAGTGTTGGGGTGCAGGGTTCCTATGACACAGAAAGACCACGCAGCCACAGTCCGCACAGCCATGAGCAGGAAGGAGGTGAGGATGAGGGAAAGCGACAAAGAGCTGCCCCAGCGACGGAGAAAGGAAGGCGGGCGCACAGCTGCACAGAGAATGCCTGGCCCAGCCTGGGGAGAGGGGTGAGGCTCTGCTTTCGGCCCCTTTCCTGCCCTCCACACTCCCCTAGTCCTCCCTTGCTGCTGGGGCACCTCTGTCTAGCACAGGGTGGATTCCTGAAGACGGATTTTTTTCCAAAGTGAGGTCTGTGCTCATTGCATGGGATATTCAGAAAAGTTCCAGGAAAGAGGGGTTTCATTGAGCATGAAATTGGAAAACAGGCCTGAGTGACGTTTGGTAAGGTTTTTTAATGCAGGACTTGTCAGAGCCTTGATACGGTCCACTATACCTGACAGCTTCCCCTTCATTTACCAGGGACTCTCCGTGGGGCCTGGTTTATAAATGCTGCCATCAGGACATGCTCTCCAGGAATCTTCCCTAGGAGGTGACTTCAGGGCTGTGACTTTGTCTCTACACATGAGAACAGGTTGTCTGAGAGCTCACAGGTACCAGGTGGGGGCTGAGGCTCGGCTTCCACCTACCATAGAGGTGAGGCAGGTGCGTGAACACTCCCGTTTCACAGATGAGGAGACTGAGGCTCAGAGGAAGACAGAGGTGAGCATGGACTTCAGAGGAAGCCAGCCAGCTGCACTACAGCTCTGCTAGGGACCAGCTGGGCAGCTCTGAGCAAGATCCTTGCCCTCTCTGGGCGTGGAGGAGGGGTAACAATCTAGGCTATGTGGTCCTTGTGGGGACAGAGGCGTCAGGAGAGACACTTGTAAGGCACCTGCATACAGTGGTGCTCAATAATCGTGCATTTATTTCCTGGGTGAGAGAAGGGAGATCACACATGGCCAGGAAGGGGCAGAGACTGCACCTGATGCCAGGTGTCCCCCGGCAGTCTACTCTCCACCACCACGTGATTGTCTCCCATGTGTCTTCTTACTCACACCTGCAGCTGAGGCCACATGACAACTCCAGCGTGGGAAGAAGCAGCCCCTTCCCCACGGCCCCGGCCGCAGGGCTGCAGTCGGCCACTCCTCCGGGGCCAAGGAGAACAAGGTGGCCACTCTTTGACTGTATCACCCTCTGATCACACCTGACACGTCACCTTTGGTCTGTCTCTAAGCCCCCACCCCTTCCTGAGTCCTCAGAGGACATGAGTCCACACCTTTCTGAGCCCTGGCTGCCCTCCACAGAGCCCACAGTCCAGATGACACCAGGAGTTAAGATTGATGAAGAGTGAGGGGGCAACATACCCACCTGGCATTGGCCACACATTCCAGGGTGACCTCTGAGGTCCCGGCCACCACGCTGGTGTTCTTGGGAGGGATGATGATGGTGGGGGCGATGGGGTCTGCAGGCCCCCCTACATCTGGGAAAAGAGGTCAGATGTTAGTGGGAACAGAGGTCTGAAGGGCCAGCCCTGCCTGGTCCCCTTGGAGGCTGACATCATGGGAGACCTTCTACCCTGGAGCAGAGCAGTGCCCTCTGGAGTAGCCCCAGAGCCTGACTCTCCAGGGCCTGACCCCATGACCCAGACGTGTCATTATGTGGGTGGACAGTGACCCCTACTGCAGATGTTAGCTGGCTTCCAACATCTTCCCCAGCTCTTTGAGTAAGGAGGTCAGCCCGCACTTCCTCATCATCTGACCTCGTTTTCCTGCCTTCAACCCTTCTCTCCTCCTGCCCTACCCTGTCTGTTCACAGTCCTGCCTCTTCCACCACAGTGCAAACTCCAGGCTTTAATGAAGCCAGGACCAGCGGATTCTGACTCATGGCGCCCTCGTGCGTTATGGAGTAGAACTGCTCTGTCGGGTTCTCCTGGCTGTCGTCTCTACTGAAGTGATAGCCAGGCCTTTCTTAGGCTGCACCACTGTCTCTATTGAAGTGACTGCCAGGCCTTTCTTAGGCTGCACCACCAGGTGGGTTTGAACAGCCAGCCTCCAAGTTAATCTCAACTCCTTGTAGTCGAGTTGGAACCAATTCATAGCTGAGCTCAAACCCGCCTCAAGTAAATTACATTTACATGACATTTACAGCCTTGGGGGAGGAGAAGACTGCCCTTCTTTGTCCACTGAAGCCCCTGGTGAAATCGCACCACCAGAGAGGGGACCCGTGGAGTTAGCAGAGCAACTCCCCGCAGATGAGACCACCAGAGCTTAATAGCAGAGTACGAGCTGTTTGTGCCCCTTAAACACACCCTTCTCGTCAGAGAGTGAATTCTGACTTACAGTTGCCCCACAGGAAAGCGGAGATCTGCCCCACAGGGTCGTCTTATCCACCAGGCTTGGTCTCTAGGGAACAAATGGCCACATCTTCCTCCGTGAGCAGTGGCTGGCTTCAGTGGCTGGCCTTTCCGTCAGCAGCTGCCTGCTTCACTACTGTGGCCCCTCGGGTCCCTCTGTGACACCCCGAGATGCCCAGTTCATGTTCACCTGTGAACATGACCTTGTCTTGAAACAGAGACATTGCAGACACCATCGGGGAATGAAGACGTCACGCTGAGTTATCACTGTTTTCCTGGCCATCTGGTCAGAACCTACTCACAGTGCAAGCTCCGGCGGGCACTCAGGGACTGTAAATCACGGGAGGACAGTGACCATGTATCCTGCAGAGCGGTTGGTGGGCTTGAACTGTCTGTCTTTGGGTTGGCATGCAGCTCCTTACCATTAGGCCAGCCACTACGTCTGGTGTTCTTCTGAGAAGAGGGAAATCCGGACATGGCCAGAGCCACACAGGAGACGACCGTGCGAAGACAGAGGCAGAGATGGAGAGATGCAGCTGAGAGTGAAGGCCTGCCAGTGACCACTGAGCTGCAAGGCCCTCTCCCTGCAGCCTTCAGAGAGAGCCCGGCCCTGCCCACACCGGGACATGGAGCCTCCTGATCTCGGGGGAGTACATCTCTGGTCCCCGACGCCAGGCTGTTTCAGCAGCCACAGAAAACTCATCAATCACCGGAACCTTGTTCACACCACTTCTCCAGCACCAAGGACAGACAGCACCTAGCACATAGTAGGTTCTCAGCTCTCCTCGGCTAGTGGCTGGATGGCTGAACTGGAGCCCTCACTACACAGGCACCAGGACACGTGGGAATTCCTGGCGGATCGTATTTTACCACGCTTTGCAGACACGGCACTGTTTACAGATGGAGAGTTCGTGGCAACCTTTCCTCCACTGAATCTGTTGTTGTTGTTGTTATTATTGTTGAGTATCCACAGCTGGCGAGAGTTTTCGGAAGCAGCAAATCGCACAGGAGAACGTCCATCCACAGCAGCTGGTGAATCCAAACTATATGCCTTCAGGATTTCAGTGCAGCTTCCTACCCACCGGGGCTCCCCTCAGCAAGTCGAGGAGTGCCATTTACCCCACAGTACGTGCTGCCCACGTCCTATCTCCGTGCCTCATTTGAGTTATTTTCCTAATGCTTCAGATTTCCCATCACAGTGCTGCTCACACAGCAGACCATGGTCTTAAGCAGCACGTGCACGAGGAAATGGAAAACACCCGTGGAGGCGATACGTGTGTCACTGCGGTGGTCCGGAACCGAACCTGTGTGATACCCGCTGTAAAGACAGCTTCTCCCGAGTACGCCTTATTAAAACAAAACAAAAACGCACTCCAATCAGAACTCTGCCGGCGGAGACATCTGACTGCCTTTGCTCTGAGTTCTCTGAGGTGAGGCCAGACTCTCTGCAGGTCAGGTTAAGTCTGATATTGGCAGAAAATCCAATATTCTCGGTACATCGGCTTCATGCATAGCTCCTCAAAATACAACCTCCAGGGACTTTTCCCTCTCATGACAAATCTATCCAGTTGGCCCTTTTCCAGAAGGTTCCAGAGGTAACACGCCACGCTGATTTACACAGCCCCGCGGTGACAGCCAGAGCGTGGCTTTTATGGGGCTACGGAGGGCATGCATGGTTGGCACCTTGACCTCCCTGCTCTCGGGCCGCCCCAGCACCCTTGGCCACACTGACACCTGGCCTCCAAGCCTTGCCAAAGAAGGCTCAGGAGGAAGGGAATAAAACGTACAAAATAAAGTAAAATGAAGGAGGAAGAGAAGAAGCATATAAAGCAAAATAATTGCAACAATATAAAAACCTCATGTAGGTGCCATAAAATGCGATCGGATTGAAAGCTGCTGATATAGCTGAATCCATAAACGTGTGCCCTAAATTGTTTATTACATACCGGGACGCAGGTAGCACGGCCCGGATTAATGGAGCGCAAGGCGGAGACAGACAGCTAGAGGCCCAGCCGGCGGCCCGAGGTTAGGGGTTCTGGAGGAGGATATCAGGACCCCGGGCAGCTGTGGCTTGGAGAGGGAAGGACAAAGAGACTGACCGCCTCCAAGAGACCCCGGGGCCTGTGGGGCATGAGGGGAGGGCAGAGGAGGGTCACAGGCCCCAGACACAGCAGGAAAGGTCTGGGGTCAGAAAGATCAAACCTTGCTCCAGCCCTGGAATCTGGGAAAGGTCTGTCCCCAAGGCTGCTTCCTTAATGGTAAAACACGATAATGTCCCTGTGCCTCTGGGAGAGGGGGGCGAGTTCTGCTTGGGGGTGCTCAGCACACCTTTCCCAGGTGGGCAGAGTCAGCTCTGTGTCAGACTGGGCTTCAACTAGGAGTTTCGCATCAATCCTCAGCAGTGGTTTGTCCTCAGGGAGCCTGGGGGACATCAGGTGGAGACCTACGTGGTTAGTGCATCCTGGGAGGATGGGCATCATGGGGGTGGCCAGGGGCGAACACAGAGGGTGAGGCACATGAGATCGAACACCAAGCCCAACAGAATGCCTTCAGATTGATGAGAGCCCAGGGGACGCCCGCTACAGGATGGAGCAGAGGTGCCATGGAGCCCTGAGCCTGTACGTTTCTCAGCAGCAGACTCCCACATCTTTCTCCCGTGAAACAGCTGGGGGGGGGGGTCTTATCTGCCACCTTTAGGGTGGAAGCTGTGTGCCTTCTTCTCTGTGCCACCAGCACACCATTATTGCAGGTGAGGCCAAGGTGACTATGACACATTGTGACCTTTTGAACAATAGGTCAGAACGTCTCCCTCCCCTGCACCATCCTCACGGTCTCTGATGGACTTGAGTCCACGGTTACAGCCAGTGTCAATCCACCCTGTTGAGGGTCTTCCTCTCCTTCTCTGACTTTCCACCTTTCACAGCACAATATTCCCCCCTACCAAGCCCTAATAATGGGCCCAAAGTATCTGAGATGAAGGACACCCCGGCTGCACCTTTTCCAAGCCATGCATGTCCGTTTTGCAGTTCATGGAGAGTAGCCAGCATTCTTCTCCAGTATGACAACTCAAAGGCATTGATTGTTCTTCTATCATCCAACACAGAGATCAGTTAGCCTGGTGGAGAGGAAGTGATGCTACCAAGCCAAAGGTGGGTGATGTTAATCCGCACCCCTCAGGCCAGTTTTTCATTGTTTTTGTTCAAACATTCTTCTAGGTTGTATAGACTTGGCGTGTCCACTTGCTGGACAGAGGTAACTTGTGGTTGCGGTGAAACTGAACACTGTGACACTGATGAGTCAAATGCGTTAATGGTCACCCATGGTGGATAGTATTTGGTGGAGCTCCCCGATTGAAACAAATTTGGAAACAGGAGTGGCATTCACTTCCGTAATAGCTTGTCTCTGGAGACCCTATGTACCTGGAGTAAGGATGAAAGTCACACAAGGGTCGAGGACTTTCATTCATAGGGCTACTATGAGTTGCCTATGACTTGACAACACTTAACAACAACAACATCCTTATTCTAACTTGGAATGTCGGAAGTGGTTGAAAAGACCATGGTTTGTTTGAATCAGGTACACCTTAGTCTTCACAGTAACATCTTTGCTCTTCAGCACTATGGAAAGTCCTAACAGCAGTACTTTTGTAGTGTTATACATCTTTTGATTTCCTGGCGATTGATGCCAAAGGTGTTGACAAGGATGAACGTCCCCCTGGCCGTGTCTGAAATGTGGGTATCCCTCTTAATACTAGCATTATATGAGACCCCCTTGGTCTCCAGGGTGGGTCCCGACAGCCCTGAGGGAGAGACAGTGGGCAAAACCTGGGGCCCAGGAGGAGACCATATAGCATGTGGGGGCTCAAGGACCTCTTCGGTGAAGTGGATGACAAGGTCAGTACGGGGTCATCTGGAGCAGTTTTCCTAAAATTAAGGGTGTTCCCAGCCTGAGGCGGAACAAAATCCCAGGCAACCAGGGCCAGTGGGCTCCAGTGGGAGGGTCTTTTGGGATACCTCACCTGGAAGGGCACCAGGCTGGAGGGCGGGCGGCAGGAACCCAGGGTTCCCCATCAGGGACAAAGGCAAATGCAGCCAAGGAAGGATCTCGTGAGAAAACCCCCAGCAAGTGTCATCCACTGTGTGCCAGGCTCTGGGGTTTATTCTCTTGTCACCCCATTTATTACTCTCTTCTGCTCCTTGTCCACTACAGAGAGGGGAAACTGAGGCTCATCCTTGTCAGAATCTTCTCTGGCACCAACGCAAGTGAGTGGTGGGGTAGGGGCCTGACCTGCCCCCTGCCTAAGTGGGTGTCCAGGGAACCGCTCTCCAGCGCCCACCCCGTAGGCCCAGGGCAACCCCCTACCTGGACCCCAGAGTGCCAGGACTTGCTGCCCCGCACTGTCCCTTATGTCCACCACCAGGGTGGCCACACGTGGCCCCAGAGCTCTGGACTCTGGCAAATGCCCTCCCATTTACCATGATTTGATTTGCATTAATTTACACTGAAATTCAAAGCCGGATTCTTCATTCAATTATTGGAACGCTGTTAAGGATGTGTAGAACAACTCAAAGACACGAACCCACTTTCTCCGCTCTGCATTTGCTGAGATCTAAATGCAGCTCACGTATTTGAGATGGAAATTCGGCATCCAAATTGAGATATACCGGAAGACAGAAAGGAGCACCGATTTCAGAGACCCAGCCGCGTACAGCCCACCGGATGGTCTCATTAGTATTTCTAATATTGATTCTATGTTCAAATGATAACACTTTGGATGTATTGGGTTAAATAAAATACGTCCAAGATGAATTTCACTTATTTCTTTCAACTTTTTTTTATTTTTTTAAGTGCGGTTGCTGGAAAATTTACAGACACTTCAGGGGCCTCTGAGGAGCTCTGGTGGGGTATTTCTGTGTTGGTTCACTAACTGAAAGGTTGTTGGTTCAAATCCTCTAAGTGCTCTGAGGGAGAATGATAAGCCAATCTTCCTGTAAAGAGTCAGTCACTGAAAGGCGACGGAGAGGCTCCGTCAGTCAGGTCTCACTAAACTCACTGCTGTCGAGTCAGAAGTGCCTCCAGCAGGTTTGCCTGGCCTGTAAATCGCCACTGGTGGCTCCGACCTACCACAAAGCTGCTGCATTTAGATGGACAGTGTGATTCCCTATCAAATAGGCCCCCAGAGCCCCCCAACTTGAAGGTGGTTGTTGTTAGGCGCCATCAAGTGCGACTCATAGCGACCCTGTGAACCACAGATCTGAAACCTGTCCTGCCCTGGGACGCCCTCACCGTCTCTGACACACTGGAGCCCACTGCTGCAGTCACCGTGTCCATTCACCTCATTGAGGGTCTTCCTCTCTTTGCCCGACCCTCTGCCTCTCCAAGCATGTCGTCTCTTTCCAAGGAACAGCCTCTCCTAGCAACAGGTGCAAAGTTTGAGAGAGAAAGCTTCACCATCCTTGCCTCCAAGGAGCACGCTGGTTGCATCTTTTCTAAGAACTTGAAGGCAGTTATTTATTTATTCTTCTCCGTGGCCTTCCTTCTGCTCTCTCTGGGACAGCCCAGTCTACCCCTCAGGTTGGTGCTCGAGTAGACGTTTCCGGCACTGTGATGATTCATGAGGTCGGCTGGGGCATCCTTGCGCGGGGGTCCACGGCCTTGTTCTTCTCCATTTCAAGTGAACACGTTCATCTCCCGCCCACAGCGCTGCTACTGCTGGCTTTGAACCTCCAGAGAGACATGACGTTTGGGTTGGCAGCGCAGCCCTCCAGGCTGGACCACCAGAGCTCCCTCCAGGGGTTGCTAAGTGGCTGATGAGTCCTTCGAGGAGGAGAGATGGGGAGAAGGGTAAGGAAGGGAGGAGCAGGAGGGGTGCGGTGGGGACATAGAGCTGGAAGTGGGAGGGGCAGCATCGCTCCTGTACAGTGGCTGTCAGGCAGCAGGCTGGGGACCCTGTCAGTGACAGGAACAGCCTCTGGAAGTGACTCGTGGGAGAAGAGATTAGCTCAAAATCAGCTGGCTCTGTTCTCAGGCACCCAGGGAGGCAGGACGCAGAGCCGTGGGCTGCAGAGACAGACCTGTGGGTGAGGTCCAGGCAGGGAGGGGTTGCCAGGGGCTCTCCCAGGGGGCTTGCTGAAGGCTGGGGGGTGTTGGATGGAGCAAGCGACCCCCCCCCCAGTCTGATGGGAGAAACATCTGTGTGAGACAGAGGAGCACTGAATGGTTCACCCTTGGGTCTGTCCAGGGTAAACTGAGTCACGCAGGATGATGTCACACAGACTCATTTCTTGGACCTTCTCTTTTTTGGTGGCCTAGTGGTAAGGAGCTGTGCTGCCAACCCAAAGGCACGAGGTTTGAATCTACCAGTGGCTCCATGAGAGGAAGATGGGCAGTCTTTTCCTGTGCAATTTCCAGCCTCTGAAAAGCCCCTGGAAGGCCAGCTATGTGTGGGTTCCAACTGGACGGTGCATAACGACGACAACTTTGGTGGAGTGGCCGTGAGCTGCTGTCCAGCGGGCTCCGACTTGTCGTGATTTCAAGGACAAAGAGAACGAGATGTCCAGGCCGCGCTGGCCAGCATCCTCCGGCCCACTGATGCTGCCACTGCTCAAAAAGCCTTCTCACTGAGGTTTGTCTTGTTTCAGCTTCAGACTCCAGGGAGTCAGATTCTCAGAAAATTAGGGGGGTGGGGAGCCTCTCTCTCTGATGATTAATCCCCTTTAATCCTGTAGAAACAGTAGCTCTAGTCACTGGCCAGGATGCAGGCTCCTGGGCTGTGGTTGAGGCCCTGGTTCAGGTAAACATCGGTGGGTCTCCCCATGCCTAACCAGGCAGCAGGTAGAATGAGCTTCCTCTAGGCAGATTGGAACTTGGGGTGGTGGGGAGCTGACTCTGGGGAAAACGAGGATTCCGTGGAGTTCGAGAGGCTGGTGCGGGGGAATGGCAGGGATTAGGCATGTTCTGGACTTCACCAGAGGTCTGGCAGACAGAAGCTGGGATCTGAGGGGTGCTGGTCTGCACCCCCGTCTTGCTGCTGGCACGCACGTGTCTATGGAAGCACAGATGATAAATGAGACTTTCTGTGGAGCAGGAGCAGTGCAGATGTGGACGGACGTGAACATCTGGCTACCCCAGCTTGTGGCTGCTCCGGTGCCGTGAGTCATTCCAGGCTCTCCAGCTCAGCCCAGGAACTCTGCTCGCCTGCCTGGTCCTGCTGCAAGGGGGTCACCACAGCCCCCTCTGCTGACCCCAGAGACAAGGAAGGAGATCCAAGCTCCCCAGTTCACCCCAGGAACTCTGCTGCTCGCCTGTCTGGTCCTGCTGCAAGGGGGTCACCACAGCCCCTCTGCTGACCGCGAGATGAGGCAGGAGAGACAGGTGAAGGAGGATGAGTATCCTGGCATCTCCATCCCATCTACTGGCGCCAGTCTTCCTGCATCAGTCTTCACCCAAGGATGCTTACTGAGCATTCCAGGTGCCCCTTATACTCTCCAAACCCTCCTGGGAGGACTTATGCTGTGCTTCTCCAGGGAACAGGGAGGTGGTTCTCCAAGGATGGGCAGAGGGGTGCTCTCAGTTTGTACCTCTATCCATGAGGCCAAATCTGGTTCTACGAAGAGCAATTCTACACAACAGCAAGGATTCTCAGGCGGTGAAAACCAAGAAATGTCAGCGGTTGACTGAAAGGTCAGAGGTTTGAACCTATCCCGAGGTGACCAGGAGGAAAGGCCTGGCAAACTATCTCTGAAAGGGCCCAGCCTCGACGACCCGGTGGAGCTGCTGTGCTCCACACACACAGGGTCAACATGAGCTGGCACTGACTGGGCAGCAGCTGTCTGCGTGTGGGAGAGCCAGCCGGGCCAGCACAGCTAGTTATTTCCCTCCACACGAGCTTCCTGCCTCCCGGGATGCCCCCGCCATCACCACCTGAGCCCCTGTTATCAGACATGCACACACAGTATGCCCCGTCCCCTCGCCGGTCTCCCAGTGGCCCTGTCACAGCTCAGCTAAGTGGCCCATGTCCAGAGGCGAGGTTTCCACTTGTCCTGAGACTTGGCGTCCAGCACTCAGCTCCCTCCTGCCCTGCTTCCTCCAGTCCAGCTGCTGTTTCGTGTCTGGGCAGACCTCCTCCACGGGCATCTGGGTAAACCACCTCCTCCTCCTCCTTCTCGGGCACCCCCACCCCACCATCCCATCTTCCCGACGCTCCCGCGCACACGTGGTTCTGGATTTAATGACCTGGTCCGCTTGCTCCAGCGCGGCCCTGCGCATACTTACTCTCTACAGCGAGAGTGACAGGCTGGCTGGTCTTGTTATCCCCGTTCTTGTCATTAACAGCCTGCACGTAGTAGCGGCCCGCGTCGGGAGCCACGGTGGACAGGATGACAAGGGTGTTCTCCAGAGTGATGGCTCTGCGGAGAGAGAAAGGGTTCTTCTGACAGGGCCCCTCAGGGCTCGGAGTGGGGAAGGCGGTGTGGGCTGGGTGAACCCTCCCCTCCTCGCTGCATCTCAGAGCCCCCTCCCAGCCTGTTCTCCCCACCCCCAGACATTTCCTGCTTACACCTGCGCTTAAGTGTTAACACACTGTGCCAGTCTGTGGCTGCGGCTGGTACGGTCATATCTCAACAGGCTGCCAACAAAGGGGACCAGGCTCAAACAGTCCAATTCATCTCAACAGGTCCATAGGCCTGTGAGCGGAAGTGTCCACAACAAAGCTTCCCTGGCCCATGCCCAACATTAAGACCCTTCCCGTCCACGTTACAGCATCCATCCATCCACCTATGTGTGTAATATCTGTGTGGCCAGAACCGGCACATAGATCAATAAACAGACAGGAGAAAGATGGATTGTTATTATTGCTGCTGTGTCAGAACCAACTCCTGGCTGACCCTCCAGCGGCTTTTCAGAGGTTATAAATGGCATCAGAGGAGATTGCCCATCTTTCTCCCTCAGGGTAGCTGGTGGGTTCGAACTAACAGCCTTTACGTGGTTCCTTACCTACTAGGGCCACCATAAGAAAAGGACTGTGGCATCACAGAATGAATGATGGATTAATTAAGTAAGTAAAATGGAGATATGGATTGAGGCTCAATGTCAAGAAGACAAAGATTCTCACCACTGGGCCAATTGGCAGCATCAGGATGGATGGTAAAGAGACTGAGATTGTACACAGCTTTAGTTTGCTTGGCTCCACAGTCAACAGTCTTGGCACCAGTAGCCAGGAAATTAAAAGACATATTGCCATGGGAAAGTCTGCTGTTAGGGACCTCTCCAAAGTACTGAAGAGCATTGGGGTCTCTCTGGAGACTAAGGTGCATCTGATACAGGCCATGGGCTTTGCAATCACTTGTTACACATCAGAGAGTTGGACAATGATTAGGGAGGATAGAAGGAGAATTGATGCTTTTGAGCTGTGGTGCTGGAGAAGAGTATTGAGGGTACCATGGACTGCCAAGAAAACAAACAGATTCTTCCTGGAGAGGGTTAAACCGGGCGGCTCCTTAGAGGTAAGAATTCTGAGGCTCTGTCTAACATACTTTGGACATGTTGTGAGGAGAGACAGGTCTTTGGAGAGGGACATCATGCTTGGTAGGGTGGAAGGACAGTGCAGGAGGGGAAGGCCCTCTATGAGGTGGATTGATTCAGTGACTGGGGTAATTGGGATGGGAGTGTCAGAGACAGTGCGATTGGCACAGGACAGAGCAGAGTTTAGGGCTGTTGTACATAGGGTCGCTATGAGTTGCAAGTGACTCAATAGCACATAACAACAACAACAACAAATGGAGCTGATACTGAATATAAAAATGATCAAGCCATTCCAAAATCCTTGTCTTCATCTTAAAGCTCAACTTGTTTATGAGGTAGGCTCAACGGTAGAATTCTTGCCTTCTGTGCAGGAGACTTGGTTCGACTCCTGGTCAATGCATCTCATGTGCGGCTACCATTTGGCAGCGGCTGCATGGCTAGGATGCTGCTTTTACAGTGGAGCCTTCCTTTAAAATGACAGAGACTAGGGAGAAAAGCCTGGTGATAGAGCCACCTCTGAAAACAGCCGGTGAAAGCACTGTACATCACAATGGTCAGATCCACCAGGGACCCTGGACCAGAGGAATGGCATGGGCACTCCAGCTAGCAGATTGGCTTTGTCGTGCATGGTGGGAAAGGGGGTCCCTTGAGGCAGGGGCTGACTGGGTGACAGCAACATCAACACCTAAATCTGGTTCACTCGATCCACAAGGTGTAGATCACCTCTACATAAATTTCTGGGGCTCACATCTCCTTCCAGCCCCCTGTTAGGGTTCAGTCTCCACCATACTGAAGCCAGCTGGACTGCTGAGGAGGGTCAGGAAGGACTCTGTTTGCCATAAATCCGACTCCCTTGGCTGGGATGAGCCTCCAGGTCCCTGGGGAACGTGTGAGCCGGAAGCGGGGCCCATTAACCGTGGGCAGCGCAGTCCAGCAGCGTAGCCCACGCTGGCTCTGTTAGCCCCTCCCATCGCCGCTTCTCCCAATGACAAACAAAACCATTAGTTTGTCAAGTCTATCTCCGATTTTAATGTGATGTGCCCAAGACAGCTGTTAAACATCCTTAATGTTAGTTTAACAAGGACAAATCCAGTTGAATTCTTTTCAAATTCTCCCATTAGGTGAATGTTACAGTTTTAAACAGGCTCTCAGATAAACATCCCAGCTAACGCGGCTGCCGCCCAGCTCCCTCCCTGCCTGGGGAGGCTGAGCTGCCCTCCCCCCCCCTCTCCGCACTCGTTCTGGGGGTGTCGAGGCTCACACCACTCTTGGGGTGCTGGGAGGTATGGAGGAAAATCCACCACACTCCCCATTTTGGGGGAACTAATGATGCCCACTTTTAATGGTTTCCAGAAGGCTCTTTTAAGCCACACCATTAGGGGGGTTGTGGTCACACTGAAAGAACTTGGTGGAGAGCCCTTGGGTGGCCAACATTCATGGTCAGGGTCAAGTTGTGTTTTTCAGCCACATCACCACCTCCCCAAGTCCCCTTCATGAGGCTTTCTTCTGACTGGTCCAGCTCCCAGCCCACCTCCCACTCCTGATTTTTGTGGGCTCCATGGGGACCCAATGAATAATTTAATTAGGAATAAAACAGCTCATCTGAGAGCTTGCCTGAAGGCCCCAGCATGAGTCTTTGCTGGGAATCCTGTTTCTTTCTCTATGGTGAGCGGTCAGGGGCTGGGAGGTGTTGCTGACCGTGGCGAACGGCCCAGCAGCAGAAATCCACAAGCCCCCGCCTCCAGCAGCCTCCGCACTCCTGCAGCTGAAGTCTTGTCAGTAAGTATCCCTGATGCACAGACAGACACGAGCTTGCGTCTATAGACTTGTTCGCTTGGTCTTGACTATGAACCCACTGTCATGGCTAAGCTAAGACCATGACTCGTCTGTATTTTGTACACACGGCTTTCTGTGCACTTGGAGGTGACAATGAGGGTGTCTCTATACCAAGATTGCTCTAGCCTGGTGTCAAAGGATGTTGGGAATGGAAAGGGGAAGGGGAAGAGGCCAGGAATGCGTCTGGGAAGGGGAGAGGGAGTATAAAAGGGAAGATGGAAGAGAGGTTGGGGAATTGGTATCATCTACCTGTAAATAAAGGTAAGAGATGTGGAAGGACATACCCCCCCCCCCGCCCCCTCCTGCTGCATTGGCAGGCATTACTAATGGATCACGTGCTCTTTCCTGTTGAGCCACGATGTGGCCTCAGAAGCCTTCTGCGCTCCAGGCAGGCATTACCAGTCAACTGGCTTGCAGGATCTCACCGCTAATATCACCCAGGGCATGTGAGACAGCTTTCAAAGAGGAGCGAGGACGGGTGGGCTCACCTTCCTACCTCAGCATTGCCCACCTGCAGCGTCACCCTCACACTCCCAGGAGCCATGGTCCACGCCCTCCCAGCTTCACTGACCACAGGTAGACCACACGGACCTCCTTTGACCCACAGGATGACTGTATCTGCTAACGGAGGTTCCACCCCAGGTCTTCACCGCGCTTGGCAGCCACACTCCTTGGGGCTCCTCTCACTCAGAGGCAGAGTCTGTTTCCCTGACTTCTGCCACAGGACCTGGCTCTGAACCAGCCGCTTCACTCCCCCACACCCCAAACTCAACCCACTTCTATGGAGACTTGTAACAAACCTGCAGGACAGAGCAGAACGGAGCCCCACCATCTCCAAGGCTGCCAATCATTGCATGAGCACACTGCTTCACCTGGCTTTCATGGAGTGGCTGGGGAGGCTGAACTGCACACCTTCTTGGTTAGGAGCTGAATATGTTACCAACAGCACCACCAGTGCCCCTTTACCGTTTACTGGAATTGAAGCCTTTGAGTTGTGGTGCTGGAGAAGAGCAGCCCATGGGCGGCCCAAAACAAGTAACATCTTGGAGAGGGTGCAGCCAGAGTGCTCTTTGGAGGCAAAGATGGTGAGGACTTCACATACTGCCTTGTTGCCAGGAGGGGCTGGTCCTTGGAGAGGGACAGGATGCTTGGAAGGGTGAGGGGATGGCGAAGGAGAGGAAGAACCTCAACCAGGTGGACCGACATTGTGCTGCAATGCGCTCTAGTGTGTCAGGAAGTGTGAGGACGGCACAGGGTAGGACGGGGTCCAGATCCGCTGTTTACAGGTTTGCTATGAGTCATACTCAAATCAACGGCACCAAGGAGGAGCTGAACACAAGTTGGCCAAACCATGAAACTTTTAGGAGCTTCACTTTTCCCATCTATAAAATGGGCCTACAGCAAAGGATCTCATAGGATTGTGGTGAGAATGATCCACTCCATAAGCATTTTCAGCAGATGCTTGAGGACAGAAAGAGGAGGAATGGAGAGCGAGTCCTCGTTGGTGGACAGGCCTCGTCCTGGAGGAGACAATGGCATGGGCAGTGTGTCCAGCACAGTTTGAGACACAGCGGTCGCCCATGTGGGTATTCATTGTGGTGCTATCAATCTGTGCCTCTCGTTAGACACCACGTCCCTCCAAGGCCAGCACTGTCCATGTGTTCCTCCACTTCCAACAGAGACGCGTGTCCACTTCCCTCCACAGTGCTGTGTGATCTACAGGGCGGCCTGAGTAGACTGGCTGAAAGGGTCTTCTTTGCTGGGCACCGAACACGAAGCCAGTGCCGTCGAGTCAGAACCGACTCTCAGCCGACCTCCAGCAGGGTTTCAGACTTGCACGGGAGGTCACGGCGCATTCTTCTCCCGTGGAACGGCTGGTGCATCTGAAGGAGTCACGTTTGCTTTGGGAGTGAACTTACCTTACCCACCAGGCCACCAGAGCTCCCTGCTCTAGGAGCTGTTGCTGCTGTTACGTGTCATCGAATCAAGTAGGATCCATAGTGACCCGGAACCACAGAGCAGACCCCTGTCCTGTGCTGTGCCGTTCTCATCATCGCTGACACACTTGAGCCCACTGCTGCAGTCACCCTGTAAATCCATCTCGTCGAGGGGCCTCCTCTCTTTTGACGACCCGCTGTCCTTCCAAGCATGACATCCCTCTCCAAGAAATTGCCTCTTCTCTGTGAGATGACGTAGGCGAGATGAAGCTTTGTCATCTTGATCTCCAAGGAGCACTGTGGGTGGCACACACGCCAACTGACCGTGGCTGCTCTTAGAAGGACCCAAGGTTCAAGTTCACTCACAGGTACCACAGAAAAAGGCCTGGAGATGTGCTTCCGGAAGATCAGCCATGGAAGCTGTGGGGCACATTTCTGCTCTGACACCCCTGATGTCGCCCTGTGCTGGGGTCGACCCTCAGGAGTCCAGAGGCGAGAGCTGAACTCCTAGGAGGAGAGTCGGGTGGCTCCGTGCCCTGGAAGGAAACACTGCTCCCCGCGGCGTAGGAGTGCTGGCTGTCGGTCCACCCTCCTGCCCACAGGTCAGGCCACCACAGCCGCCACCGGTCCCTAGTGCACAGAGGGGCCTTGTTAGCCCTGAAAGGCTGTGTGTTTCCCTCGCCCAAGGCTCTCCTGGTTACACCTCCTACTTTCTGCCAAAACACACACCAGGGGATACCCAGCCACACCCACACAGCGGAAACCCAGGGCTCCAACACCCCCAGGGTGCTGGCCCCAGTCCTTGGCCTGTCGCCATGGTAACTGCACCTTAGCATGTGGCTGGGCGATTCTGTAAGGGTTCTTCCCTCAGCTCAGTGTGCAGACCACGCCTCGGTCCCCTGGAAGAGGACTGACCGTTCCAGAAAGCCCCCTTCTCTCTCTGAGCCAAGCTCCCTGTTCTCTTGTGAGGCACCCCCTCTAGTCACGAACCAGAAGAGCGGAAAGACGCCTTCTCAGCTTTTCACGTCTGGTCAAACCGGCCCCTGATGGCCCAAGGTGTGCCAGCACCCCCCACGCATCCCAGCGGTCACTCACATGCGGCTGCTGGGAGGGATCTTGCGGCCGTCCCGGAACCAGGTCACCTGGGGCTGAGGGAAGCTGGAGATGCGTGGGGCGCGGATGACAGCGGCTTCTCCGTGGGACACACTCTGGTGCTTCTCGCCCTCCTCAAAGCTCCCCATGTCTGCAGCAAGGAGAGGACCAGGGGTCAGGTGGGGGAGGAAAACGAGGGGCAGACAGCATGCTAAGGGGGGAGGGAGCATTAGGAGCTGGGCTCACAGCACGCACCACCCACCCCATCCCACCCATCACAGGTTCTGCCCGGAGCTGGGCTCACAGCATCCACCACCCACCCCCGTCCTATAACCATCACAGGACCTGTTGACCACGGTCAAGGCACCCAATACCCCTTACCCACTACCTATCACAGGGTCTGCCTGGAGCTGGGCTCACAGTCTCTACCCCCCACCCTGTAACCCATCATACGACCTGCTCATCATGGTCAGAGCACCCACCACCCATCACAGGGTCT